CACAACATCAAAAGGAAGGCTTTTTAGGGTAAGTTTTTCATTTTTTTAGTTAATTAATATACTTTGGTGAATAATTAGTTTGTAATTAGGTTTATTTGGTTAAAAAGAGGAAAGCTTTAGTGATGATTTACATATTCTAAATTAATTTTTTTGGAAGTTGTTAAATTTTGAACTTTTATCCATATTTAAAATTTTAATAGAATACGGACCGCTTGTTTACTCGGCGCATTTTTCAACTTTGAACTGCTTAAGCCCCAAAATGTAATATCCCGACACATTATTTGAAAGTTTAACAAAATACCATGATGACTAAGACGTAATCGAGGCTTAATCTGTGTAGCCAACCCATATCCAGAAATACCAAATCAAGTGTGCAAGTACTAACTCCCAAAATCTTAAAACTGATAGCAAAGTCTATGGAGAATACCTTAGAACAAGTACAGGCATGTGAATGTCCATCGGTCTAGATGTTATACTAAAAGCATAAGCGGTGCCCCACAACTTTGCTCCGCTTTCCAATTTCCACAACCTTGCTCCTTGTTGTTGTCCATCTTTGTCCATGACCGAACCACGTTACATCCTTGTGCGTTGTTCTTTGTCTCTACTTTCAGTACTTAGTTTTTTTATTACTTCTTTATAGTTGTAACATCTTTTGTTTTGAGTTTTTTTATTACTTCTTTATAGTTGTAACATCTTTTGTTTTGAGTTGCCCCCACTGCAACAAACTGGTAACAGAACTTTGATGTTAATTCTATTGTGGGTTCAATGAAAAGTTTCAGCACACCACTCCAACAGTAACTATACTAGTAAGACATCCTCCTTCTACTATGTGAGGAATATCACAAATGCATCTCTCAAGGATGTTGGCAGACTGTGTGTCTGAAAGAAATTGAGTTGTCTATATTATAAGGCTTAAATCAGAGTAAACTAAAACAGGATAAAGTGACTTTTGTTATACAGATTCCTCCGAGTAGGATTTCAACATGATAGGTATATCATAAGGCAAAAGAAAATGGTTTTTTTCCAAGGCAACAGGTAACAAAAGAAAGAAAAGTTAGGGGAGAATGGCAGCTTTGAACGCAGGTGTTAAAAGTTAGGGGAGAATGGCAGCTTTGAACGCAGGTGTTTCTTAGTAACGAGGGAAACAGGAGGTCCAGGTAATAGCAGACATGCCTGAAAGTCATAGTCCAAAAATGCTCTCACAGGTTACCTATAAAGGCTATAATAAAAAAAGACATATAGACAAAAGCAATAACACAGCCAATAAGTTTAATAGAAACATAGCGACTTATGAATCCTCAGTCACTACAAGCTGATATGGGAAACATCAGATAACAAACTGAATTCAGGCACTCAATCCATTGACCAAGCAACCAAAAGTTCTCAAGACAATGGTGATCCTGAAGTTGATGAAACTTTCCATGATTATGTACTGATAAAAAATTTATCACAAAGTAAACCTACATCTTTGATGTACCACAAATGAGGGAGCTTACCAGACTGGATATGAAAAATAAGGCTGTTAGGTGCTCAAGCTGAAAATGAAACATTAGGATGTTGAATGTTCAAGCGAGCGTTTTAGGTCCATTTCAACTTGGTGAATTGTCCACTGCATGCCCTCTAGTTTCTGGAGGTCAATTATTTAAATCAGGTAAGCCACAGAAGCTAATTTGGTTAATCAAAATCTTTCAAGGAAGTTACACACCTTTACAATCTCATGGTACTGTCTTGCTATAGTATCAAAATGTGCATCTACACCTTGATACTCACGTAGACGTGTAACCTGGCAAAAGAATATAAGGATCATCATGACATTATGTAAATATGAAGAACGACCTGGGCTTCTTAAAAGAGAACCTGTGAAGATTCCAAGCTAGACAATGCAAATCAAGTAAAAATGATTATAATAATTTCATTAGATTGTCTCAGAATAACAGCCTTACCAGGACTGGGAGCTTGCTAAGAATATTTTGAAATAACTTAGAACAATGAATAACTGGAATGATTTCTAAAGTCACATATAGTATCTGTGAACTCTTATGATAAGTAAAATTTTACAAGGCAAGTTCCAACTTTGACAGAACAATTCTAACTGTTGTAGTCATTGGCAATGTTGATGTATAATCAATACCAAGGTGTGTGAGCATGCACTTACAATACGCATTTTTCAATATACATTGATGAGGACGGAATAGGCAAATTTCTGCATTACATCATTACAACAAACACTGAACTGCATTCACTCAAAGGAAATATGTGGTCTCGGAGAAAGACCATCTTTCTAGAGTATATTTGGGATGGTTACATATGGAATGGATCCATCCACAGGTCGGCATGGGATGATAGGTTGAAGTTGGGCCTTGATGGTTGTCAATTCCAATGGACTTATTCTTGTGTTGACATCAATTGCACTACCCTTGTAGGCTAACAAGGTTAAATCTTGTCTTGGATCATCCTGGAATAAATGACAGCAAACTGACCGAGCACAAGTCTGAAACTGAGTTATCTGCAACACCCTGATTTGACCCGCATTATCTCCAACTGTCTCTATAAAAGTATTTGATACAAGTACAAGGCTAAACAATTCATAAAAAACATACTAAAGGACATCCAAACAGTCTGCAAGTCTAAGTATCCCTAGGGAAGTGACCAACCTCAGCCACTGTGAATTACAGAGGGAGATGATTTTGAAAGTCTATAGCATAGCATGAGCGCAAGATTGGTGCATTTTGACAACATGTTGAACCTTTTTTTTGGCTAACAGAAAAGCAATGATGACTATGACAATTATGTCCTATAAAATGTATATAAACATCAAAAGGAAAAGAATCTAAATGTATATAAACATCAAGAGAACCAGAAGCTTAAGTACCAAGGTACAATTTTTTATTTCCCAAAGAGGTCATAAGCATACTGCAGAACATGAATAATAATTTTCACATCCAAATAACATACCGCTTTATTGTAAGCAATGGACGCTTCTTCTGTTGCCTCTACGAGATACTTTCTGTAAAGGAAAACAATGGTTGAAAACTGAAACCAGCAATTTTTATGTGTTATTTAACAATTTTAATTGTTCTTAGGCTTACCGAATCCGATGCAAAGCAGGTACAGAGTCTTTAGTGTAAGTATCACGCAAGAGAAGATGTTCAAGAACCCTGCAACCAATAGTTAAGCATGACTGCTAAGATATAAACAAACAAAAGGATGGCAAATGATATAGTGATATAGAAGCGTCATGCAGATCCACAGAACCAAGACATATATGTTACACTAAAACATACACTATCAGAGCTAAATTTTGATGCAAGAGCTGCCACCTTCTTATTACAAAAATAAAATTGTAGGAAGGTGCTAAATGGATTATCTAAATGCTTCTAATTTTTCATCTTAAAAAACTGTGGCAGGCTGCGCTCACATGATTTAGTCATTAGGCACACATTTTAAAAGCCAAATCACAAGAAAAGTCATACGACGCAAGAAATCGTGCTTTCTAGTGTTAATCTTGTCTTTCAAATTCTAGGTTCCTGTTGTGTCCATGAGCATTTGGATCTTAGAAGATTTATTGGACACATCAACGGCATTTTCATGTTGATTATGACAATATCATTGCCATGAGAGCATCACATGGTTTCCTATGGCTGATAGCCAAGGAAAGCCAGACTTTTGACACCTATGTCACACATGCATATGCACTAATGCTATTGATTATTCATGTCTATTATATGATATTCTGTCACACATGCATATGCACTAATGCTATTGATTATTCATGTCTATTATATGATATTCACCAAGCCTTTAGCGACAACAAAGATTCTTCAAGTTAATTCATGTCTATTATATGATATTCACCAAGCCTTTAGCGACAACAAAGATTCTTCAAGTTACGACAAGGAAAAAAATAACAGTATTAGCTAAGGGCTGTTTGGCAAGGCGTTAAGAGATGAGGGTCTAAGGAGAATGATTAACTTAGTTAACCCTTCATGCGGGTTAAAAATAATTTAATTCAGTTTGGATGTGATAGTTAAGATGAGAGTTAAGTTTTTTTGTCTTTGGCAAATAAAGAAGGGTTATAAAGGTTAGTTGCCATGAATATCCTAAATTAGTTACTACAATATGATTTCTCGAAATTTCAAAATAAAGAAGGGTTATAAAGGTTAGTTGCCATGAATATCCTAAATTAGTTACTACAATATGATTTCTCGAAATTTCATTCCTTACCGCTGAGGGAATGAATCTTAACCTGCCTCCTCAGGCAGATTTGTTAACCTCTCTAAATAAGGAGTTAACTACTTCTGACCCATGTAAAAATTTTCTACCACTTTGACCAAATTAAACCATTTGGAGGGTTAAGGAGGGACTAAACCCCCTTAACCCTTCTCTTAACCCCTTGACAACTGAGGCCTAAAAGAACCATCCACCCATAATCAAATGATAAAGATTTAGAGACAAACCTCAGTTTGGCATTCATTGTCTGGCACCTCTTGCAAAGCCAAGTTTTCTTCAGTTCATCCTATTTAACAGGATAAAATAAAGTTACAAAAATAAATAAGGGTAATCAAAATAGCAAAAATAAAAAAAATCCCCTGCATGCATGAGAGAGCTGGTATTATCTTTATAACCTGTGAAATTTCAAAGAAAAAACCAAGTTCACAAACATACATATTGATGCTGATGTTGTAACTTCAGATCCTTCACAAACTTAATGAGCACTCCAAGTATTTGCTCCAAAACCTGTTTAAGTTGAAGTTTAAATAAAAGAATAATATAGCAAATGAGATTCACCACCAACAAATATAAGAGTTATACACCCCGATATACCAAACTATGCATCGAGATAAATGAGAGTTGTTCATAAACAGAATAAATATGAAAATAAGACACTTCTCACATACATTGTAGTGTTCTGCAAAGAGAGTTGTTCATAAACAGAATAAATATGAAAATAAGACACTTCTCACATACATTGTAGTGTTCTGCAAATTTCCTGTCCATGGAATAGAGATCTTCCAAAAATAAGACACTTCTCACATACATTGTAGTGTTCTGCAAATTTCCTGTCCATGGAATAGAGATCTTCCAATAGAACAGCCTCTTCCCTTTCAACTTCCTCAATAATTAACTTTACCCTGACCGCAAGAAGACAATTGACATAAATCCATCAGCAATATGGAAGATTAGACAATTTCATAGCTACAGAGATACGGAAATAGATGTCTCTATTAACTTAGGTATTCAAAATTTGCTGGTGGATACTCCATGTAATTTGGCAAAAAAGTAACTAAATTGCAGAGGCAGCCATACTTCCTCAAACACCTAAATGTGTGTTTGGTAATCAATGTGTTTTTTTGTTGTGTTTTTGTAAAAAATACTATGCCATAGTGTTTCTTTTTCAAATGTGTTTTGAAAACACCATTTTGATCAAACTAGTTTGACCATTTATATAGCGGCAGTGGGCGGACGGAGGCGGCGGCGGTCGGGTG